ACCCTAAACCCTTGAACGTAGACACTATGTGCTGCTCACCATAAAAGCATATACGGAAGCCATTCCAACGAGATCTGCTGCTGTGAGGCTGTTGCCGCAGAGGAAAGTGTTGCGTTCAAGTGCTGAATTAAATTCATTCAAATCGCTGGCACCGGTGACTTCATATCCTTTTAGAGCGCAGAAACAAAGCCACTGATTAATAGCCGCCTAAAGTAAAAAGAAGAAATAAAATAAAGGAGAATGTTTGCTAACGAGAGACAACGACAGAAAAGAAAAACAACCAGGTGTATGGATACAACAAACCGAAATAAACAAACATATGCTGCATCAACGCTAACAGTACACCGCAATCAAAGCAATCGAAGCCTTTACCCATTCATTCATTCAATGTGTATATTGCTATAAATAGGAGAGGCGATCACTGAACATATATAACGGCATACAGGAGAAAAACAGCAAAACAACACAGAAGAAGATAAATGAAGAGAGACGGCTAACCTGTTCGTCAGCGTTCTTCTCTGGCCCAAGAAGAACTGCCTTTGATTCAGATTTACTGCATAAATAACGGATAATGGTGGCAGGTTCTTTGAATTCGCCTTCTGGAGTGTACAGACAAAGCGCCTACACCGCACATTGAAACGCGGAATCGAGGACTTTCTCATGAATAAAAAGCAGCAAAAATCCGGATGCTCATCAATTATAATACAGTAATAATTAAAATTCAAAAACAAAACAAAATCTTATGCATTTACCTCGGAGATCGCCTTCGCAGCTCTGCCGCCCAAAGCACTGACTGTAACTACACCAGGTTTGAAGGCGTAGGAAGCTACGAGGGCGCAGGCGCCGCCTCCAGGCATTCCAATAGGATAAATAAGCTCCATTCCTTTTTAAATAAATAAAGTATTTAATTAAAAGAAACAAAGACAAAAATGCAGCAGCGTAAACACCAACCACCCTCCAACAGCGCCAGAAATACGCACGAAGAACCCGAGCGGGTTTCGTCTTCTATCTAATTGAACCTCCGAAGTTAATGAAGAAAATCTTGAAAAACAGTATTTGTTTATCAAGAAAATGAAGTAAGAGGGCAGCAGCTGTTGCAACACCGCCCAGAAGACGACGCACTGAAGGCAGTAAGACTCCTACTGATTTATATATTTCCTCTCCTTCTCGTGCAGCTCTTCAGGTGTATGGACAGAGGTATCCATATAATGTATTGCTGAGAGCACTGAAATATGCTTTCAACACTTTCGTCTTCGTTTTCTCTTCCTTTACCCTGTTAGCCGCCTTGCATGCACAGCTGCATGCACAGGCGCTCTCTTTCCCCCTCCAGCCCCAAAACAATATTCACTTTAGCAGATTTCTATTGAATTGAATTCAAGAGGCTGTATATTTAAAACGAACAGCTTAAACGAGTTTATGCTGCTGAATACAGAAAGAGGTAGGGCAATGCGTCTCTACTATCTCTCTCTCTCACTGGCGCCGCAGCCTTATCTCTTCTCGTCGTTAGGAGTTAGTTCAGCCCTAAGCCTTTTTATCTGTTAAAAAGAATATCTGCGGTGTGTGTTTGTACGCATACTGCTGTACAACAGCATCTCCTGCTGCACATCATCTGCTGCAGCAGCAGCAGCATCATTTGCTGCTGCAGATCACCTGCTGCTGCTGCTGCTGCTGCGCATCTTTTGCTGCTGCTGCTCCACCGAACTAAAGAACAGAGAAAATGAATTCTGTCAGAGAGCTTATGCGTAAGGAGAGACTGCGGCGACAGCAGCAGAGAGAAGCCGCAGAAGCAGCAAAGAAAGCAGCAGCAGCAAAGGCAGCAGCAGAAGCAAAGGCAGCAGCAGCAGCAAAAGCAGCAGCAGAAGCAGAAGCAGCAGCAGCAGCAGCAGCAACAAGAACAAAGACTCCAGTTGCTGCAGACTCACTCATTCTAGAAGGATATAACAGCGAGGAAGATGAGCAAAAAGACGAAGCAAAATATATTAAAACAAATACAACAAAAACAACGCCTGAGGGGCTTCCAGACGATTTCTTTGATGACCCAGAAGAAGCAGCAAGAGCAGCAGACGAAGAAGGAAGCCAAGCAGCAGCAGCAGCAGCAGCAGCAGGAGCACCAGCAGAGCAAGCAGATGCAGCAGCAGCACCAGCGGAGCAAGCAGATGCAGCAGCAGCAGCAGCAGCAGATGAAGATGACGAAGAAAATGTGCTGGACTATGAAATCGAAGAGCCTGATGAAGCGCTGCTGCAGCCGCAGGTCTCCGATGTTACAGCAGAAGAAGATATAAGCAGCAACGGAGCTGCCAAGACAGCTGAAACACCAGCAGCAGCAGCAGGAGCAGCAGCAGGAGGAGCAGCAGGAGCAGCAGCAACATCGGGAGATGCTTCTGAGAAGCAGGAAAAGACTAAAGGAACAGCAGCAGCAGCAGCAGCAGCAGCAGCAGCAGATGGAGAAGATGCAGCAGCAACTTCATTTGTTTTGAGCAGCATTGAACTCACAACAGCCATCGACGAAGCACACTGGTATAGCCCTTTCTCTACAGCACTTCACAGGTAATAATAAACCTATTAACTTTTAACCTCGTCATGCTACTCCTTGCTGCTGCTGCTGCTGCTGCTGCTGTCCGCGCCGGTGCTGCTGGTGCTGCTGGTGCTGCTGCTGTCCGCGTTGTGGTTGTTGCTGCTGCTGCTGTCCTCGTTGGTGCTGCTGCTGTCCGCGCCGGTGCTGCTGCTGCTGCTGTGCGTTGCTGCTGCTGCTGCTGCTGCTGTCCGCCTTGCTGCTGCATGCAGAAGTTGCCTTCGGCAGAGACTTGTCTAGCAAGCAGCAACGACAGCAATAGCAGCAGCAGCAGCAGCAACAAGAGCTTGAGTAGCTGCGTGGATTGAAGTGCTTCAGACAAGCGTTTGTGCTGCTGCTGCTGCTGCTGCGACATTTGCTGCAGCGAAGTGCTGGTAGAAGAAGAGCGGATCCAGCAGCAGGAGCGGCGGGCTCAGGAGGTGGCGAAGCTGCGTAGTGAAGCAGCAGCAGCAACAGCAGCAGCAGCAGCAGCAGCGGCTGCTGCTGCTGCAGGTAAACGGAAACGAAAGGCTCAGCAGCAGCAGCAGCTTGAGCAGCAGCAGCAGCAGCAGCAGCAGAATGAGTTGCCTTGGGGTTTCTTTGATGATTTCGATAAAGATGCAGCAGCAAGAGGCGAGCTGGGGCCGTCGGAGCTGCAGCGGCAGCAGCAGCAGCTAAATGCAAAGAAGCGACAACTTGTTGAAGATATAAAAGAAGGACGACAAGAAATCGCGCAAGAAAAGAAAGATATAAGGGCCTTTGTTAATCAGGTTGTGCAGCTGCAGGCGGAGCAGCAGCAAATGGAGAAGCAGCTGCGCACGCTGAAGCAAAAAGCAGAAGAATTCAGACAGCAGCAGCAGCAGCAGAAGCAACAACAGCAGCAGCAGCAGCAGCAGCAGATGCCAGAGCGATGCAAAGTAGAACCGCAGGATCCAGACGACTCAAAGAAATATGCTGCTGCTGCTGCTGCTGCAGCCATTAAGGAGGAGAAGCAGCAGCAGCAAAGAGAAGCAGCCGCAGCAGCAGCAGCAGCCGTTAAGGATGAGAAGCAGCAGCAGCAAATAGAAGCAGCAGCAGCAGAAGCAGAGATAAGCGAAGGAGACTCCGATGCTGACGATGATATGACGTGGCGTAGCAAATGCCTTACATGAAGCAGCAGCACCTGCTGCTGCTGCTGCTGTTGCTGCAGCAGCTTACATGAAGCAGCAGCAACAGCTGCTGCTGCTGCTGCAGCAGCTGATTGAATTTGTTGCAGCTAAATCAATGCAGGGAAGTTCGCATTCGATGCAGTATCTATCGGAGGCTATCATGCAAGACATTAATTATATTATTTATAATTATAATTATTTATATTATTTATAATTATAATTATTTATATTAATTATAATTATAATTATTTATAATTATAATTATTTATAATTATAAATAATTATAAATAATATCAATTATTAATAATTATATGTATTTAATTATTAGGATTATAACGATCAACATAATGCCTATAATTTATAATAATAATAATAATAATTTATTATTATTATTATAAATTAATATAATTATTATAATTATATTAATTATAATTATAATAATTATTTTTTCGTTGATCTGCTGCGCTGCAAACTTTTGCGGGTTTGTTTAATTTTTTGTCTTAGAATATTAAAAGGCAATTTAATTTAATATACAGCCTCAGACTAATATTTTCTTTTTAAATATATATTACATATAAATTAGTGTTTATTTATTTATTTATTTATTTATTTATTTATTTGTTTATTTATTTAGGGTGTATGAATGCAAATAGGAGAGTTCTGCTATATTGCAGATGAACGGCCTTACAAAAACATTTGCTTGAATTGTTTATTTATTTAATTAATAATTATTAATAATTATTAATAAATTAAAAATTATTATTTATTAATTAAACAGACAATTCTTTAATTTATTTATAAAGAGAAACAGACTAAAGGGAGACGCTGTTAGAAAGCTATTAGGGGTATTTAATTAACCCTCCTAAACCCTAAACCCTAAACCCTAAACCCTAAACCCTAAGGTTAGTCGAGATTTGCTGCATAGTCATTGTGAATAAAAGTAAATATATAATTATCAGGGTTGTTGTTGCTGCAGCATATCTTTATCGCGGGTTAAACTTTAAAGTTTTTTTGCATTTGTATTAACATCAATTTGCTTTTTATAACGCAGCTAATAAAATAATGCGTTTAGAAACAAAAGAAAAATAACTCTAAATGATAATGCAATTGAATATGTATATATATATACATGTATACCATGTATATATATATATATATAAACATGTATATGTACACTGTATATCTATATCTATATCCATACATACATATGTATGTATATGTACATATATGTACATATATATATATATATATATGTATGTATATATATATGTAGATAAATAGATATAGATATATATAATGTATATATATAATATATATACTATATATAACATATATAATATATATACTATATATAATATATATATATATATAGATAGATAGACGGATAGATAGATATGCATATAGATATTATACACCCATAGGGGGGTCTTGTCTTTACGATTTTTTGTGTGTTATTTTCATTCTTTTACGCATTTAAATTAAAAGAATTAAAGAAGTGCATTAAATAATTAATTAATTTATTATTTAGCTGTCTATTTTTTTTGTTTTGTTTTGCTCTGTGTGTACACCTTCAACTTCTTAAAGGAGTTAAACTTCAGCATAAAAATATGCTAAAAAGATATTAAAGGATGAATTCCTTTGATTTTTAATTAAAAATAAATAAATTATTTATAAATATTAATTATTTAATAACAACTTTATCTTTTTTTCGCTATTTATACTTCAGCCCCGTCTTAACGAGGGCTGTGTGTATGCATGCACGTTGTATTTTGATTGAAAAGGAAGAAGAAAATAAAAAAGGATGAAAATATAAAAATAATATTAAAAATTAATTATTTTTAAGCTTTTTATGATGGCTTCAAAGAGTTTTTTTGCTGTTATTGTTGCAGCAATATCTTTGTTCGCAGCACTCCGCTTGAAGGAGTCGATAACAAATTCAGCAATGAAATATAAACCATCAGAAGAAGAAGAAAATAATATAATAAAGGTATTTTTAAATAAATTAATTTTAATATAATATAAACAAAACAAAATAACACAAAGAAAGACAGTTCTTCTCATACACCTACTTCGCTCCTTCTTCACCCTGATGTTGTTTCTACGTCTTCTTCTGATAATTAAGTAATCAAAACAAATACAAATAAATATAATTATAATTATAAATTAATAAATCATACAATTAATAAATTACTTTTATCTTTCTTCTTCTTCTCCTTGGTTCAGCTGCTGCGCGTCTGTTATCTACTCGAATGCAGGTTTTGCACTTCGCTACACTAATATATATATATATATATATATATATATATACATCTCTTTGTATATATATATATATATATATTATCATATTTATTTGTCTTTATATATATATATACATAATATTATAAGTATATGTAAATATACATACATATATTTGTATATAAATATATACACACACTAACACACACACACACACACACATACATATATATATATATAGATAATACTCTATATATATTATACATTATATATATTATCTATATTATATATATTATCTATATTATCTATATTATCTATCTATCTATATATATATATTATCTATATTGCTGCAATGCGTAGGTGGGTTCACTTGAGCGTTTATCTTTTTTCGTTGAGGTGGAGGGTCTGAAGCTGCACAGTTGGCTGTATATGCCTCCAAAGCAGCAGAAAGAAGTTAATCCTCCTGCAGTTGTTGTTGCTGCTTATGGTTTGGGTGTACAGAAGGTAAGATAATATTCTCTTTTAATCTTATCTTCTTTTTATCTTTATTTCGGCTATTGTTTTTATCTTCTGCAGACGAATATATGTATATATATATATATTATTGTATATTTGCTTAGATCTGTTCTTCTTGTTTTTGGGTTTAGTCTTTTCGCTGCTTGTCCTCTCTATGCCTTGCAGTTTCTTATTTCTTCTTCTCCCTTTCTCTCTCTGTATATATATATATATATATATCTTTCTCTCTTTCTCACTGTCTCTCTGTCTCTCTCTCTCTATAGATATATATATATATATATCTCTGTCTCTCTCTCTCTCTGTATATATAGATATATATCTTTCTCTCTCTCTCTCTCTCTATATATATATATATATATATATATATAAGTATATATATCTCCCTCTTTCTTTCTCTCTGTCTCTCTCTCTCTGCGTCTTTCTTTGTCTCTGTCTGTATCTGCATCTCTCTATTTTTATCTCTGTTTATCTGTCTCTCTCTGGGTTTTAGGGTTTAGGGTTTAGGGTTTAGGGTTTAGGTTTTGTGTGTTGTATTCAGGACATGTCTATGGTGCCGTTTGCGCAGCACATAGCAGAAGAAGGATTTGCAGTTGTTATATTTGATTATAGACATTGGGGTGTATCTGAAGGAACGCCGCGTCATGTAGCGAACCCTCACAAAGAAATTGAAGATTTAAAAGCAGTGCTGCAGCATCTGCATGCATCTAACGGCCTAGGCGGGCGTGTAGACCAACACCGTATAATGCTATATGGAGCTTCTTTAGGGGGAGCCCTTGTCCTAGCCACAGCAAGCCTTCTTAATAAAGAAAACAACAAAATAAAAGACAGTATTAAAGCTGTTGTTGCTGCAATTCCATTCGTCAGCGGAAGAAACGCCCAAAACAATACAATAAAGGTAAAGAAAAGAACATAGTATGACAATTCAGGTGTACGTACAGCTGCAGATATTCTCACCTCCATGCTGCTGTATACAAGGCATTGAAAAACAGAAAAGAAAGGCATTAATGATGAGCGTGTTGCTCTTTCTTGCTTGCTGCTGTTGCTGTTTGAAGGTGCATCGAGGGTGCTGTGTTTGATGTATGTGCAGCAACGAGGGCTTGGTGAAGCTTTAGGCATATTATGGGCAGTTCTGAATGACGTCGTAATGAGTTTCTTTTCTACAGATTCTGCAGTGTACATACCAATTGCACGCCCGACTACCGCAGAGGGAATCAGCGCTTTTTTTATTTCTGAAGACGAATATAAGCTCTGGGCCTCTCGTACGCCTCTGGAGCATAAAAAATTGGAAGGGGCTTGGGAAAATAAATTGGCTGCAAGAACATTGTTCTGGCTGACGAGATTTCAAGTAGACGGTAAGCGAGAAAACTACACGTACACCTCAAATATTCGCATAGTTCAGGTGTATAGGCAGCTCCCAGATACAGAAATAAGGAAATGAAGCGGAAACCTCGGGTATTTTTGTGAATTGTCTGGACAGAATTGTTTCTTTTTCTTTTGTGAATCCATTGAATGTGATGATCGCAGAAATTGCCGTCAATTTCCTCGAGGTTCCCACCCTTATCATTGCAGGCTCGGAAGACACTCTGTGCCCGATCGAGCCTATTCGAAAGATGGTGGAAATGCATGCAGAAAAGCATGAAAAGAATAAAATAAAGCTAAAAGAATTCCCTGTTCGACATTTTGATTTCCTTTCCGCTAAGTATTTCTCCTCTCTCGTGCAGACAACTGCCGCCTTCATCAAAGAATTCGCCTGAAGATTGAATAGATTGAATTGATTGAATTGATTGAATTAATCGAATCAATGCAAAGAAGATCAATAAACTCTTTTTCCCTATTTTTTTTTACTTTCCTCCGTCAGCTGTTCCGGAGATACTCAACCCCAGGGAAATGCGCGCGTATTCTCAACAGAACCTCCAACCCTAAACCCTAAACCCTAAACCCTGAACTCGCAGGCAACAGCTCAGAGGCTGAATACAGACAACGGACAGCCGCCTTTGTTCTCTTCAGCTATCGTCTGAATGAATAAGCTCTCTGGTTTCTTTCTCTACTGCGCATATCAGAGTCTGCAGCGCTGCAAGAAGAAAATATAAAAGAAAGGTCCGAAGGGTTCGTCTTCTTCCTGTTTCTGAAGACCTCCTCACTTTAAGTTGGTGTTCATTTACGCTGCTTTAAAAGAAATATGCATTTCTTTATTTTTTCTTCATCTTTATGCTCTTCTTTCGTTTGTTGCGACTTACGGCACAGATATATCTCTGCTATGGAGGGAAAGAACCCCCTACGGTGTACAGCGAACACAAACCTTTCATATATAATTTATATATATATATATCAATACGAATAAGTATTAAGTATAAACATATATGTATGCATATATATATATATGTATAGGTATATATATTTTTGTATTTTTATGATAATGTATATTTATGTGTATCTGATATAAGTGTTTATATACACCTAAGTAATACAACAATAATAATTATAATAATATATATATATATATATATATGGTGGTTATACTTAAGTTAGATGTTTGTGTTTCTTGCTTCTTCTGCTTAAATAGAAGTAGCAGAAGAATATCAACGGAATGAATAAAACAAAATAAAATAAATAAAACAAAACAAAATAAATAAAATAAAATAAAATAAAATAAATAAAATAAAATAAATAAAATCAAATAAAAAGAATTGGGAAAGACAGAGAAGAGAAAAATATTTTATTTAGAAGCATTTGCTGCATCGGTTTGTTCTACTAGAGCGAAGTGAAGTGGATGTTCAAAGAAAAGAGAAGATAATAATAATAATAATAATAATAATAATTATTATTATTATTATTATCTTCTCTTTCTCTCTCTACTAGCCTACCCCCCTTTAGTATTATTAGTTGTTGTTAAGAATATCTTAAGAGAGGAAATATGCATACAAAAGAAAGAAAAAGAAATAAATAATAAACTCCCGGAGAAATAAACAACAATTATTCTTTTAAATACTCAATATATGCATCGATTTAATTATTTAATAAAATAAATTAATAAAGATATTTTTGAGCTGTACAGACACCTGAAGGAAGTAGAAAATATTTCCTTCACACACAACACTTTAGTATTGAATTGTAATATATTTTTTTGATTTTAAATTGCACATTTTTGCAATTTATTTATTTATTTTCATTCTCTTCTTCTTTCACAATCTCTCCCGAAGTCGAGAGCTGTCGTCACCGCAGCAGCAGCTGCTGCAGCTTCCTGCGCATGCAGGCAGTTGTTATATACCCCTAGACCGAATTAAAAAGATAAAATAAGAGCATAAAGAGGTTTTAAATGAAGAAAAATGAAGGAATTCGATGTATGTGTATGAGTAGAGAGGCTTGCTGCTGCTGCAGCAGCAGCTGCTGCTGCTGCTGCTGCTGCTGCTGCTAAGAGCGGGGCCTCTCTGCTTCTTCTGTGTTGTCTGGGTCTAGCTAAGGAGCTGCTAAAGATCTGATTGCAGTTCTTAAAGATATACTCGTCTATGTTTCTCGCAGTATAAAACATGTGAGGCATTAGTTATTAAAAGATTAAATAGGCTTCTTCCAGCATAAGTTTGCTGCTTCTCATCTTTTCTTTTTCTTGTATTATCTCCCGCTGCTGTTGCTGCTTCACTGCTGCACTGCAGCAGCAGTGGGGTGGTGTAGAAGGCGCAGCAGCAGCAGCAGCATTTTCAGCATTTCTTTATTATATTTTCTTATGTTATTGAATTCGTATTAACTTATTATCACCACATCTCTTTGTGCAGCAGCTCTCTTATCTCTTACCTCTCTCTCTCTCTCTTTCTCTCTTCCTGCTGCTGTTTATTATTTAGGGCTGGAGCTGTAGGGCTCTTTTATTATATTATTATTTATCTTCCTTCTTCATGTCCTCTGTCTTTAAACAGCAAACATCTGCATTAACAATCTCTCTCCCTGTCGCTCTTGCTGCAGCAGCTGCTGCTGTTCCTGCTGCTGCTGTTGCAGCTGCAGCTGTTGCTGTAGCTGGTGTTGCTGTTGCTGTTGCCTGAGTTTGTGTGTAATGAGTTAATATATATATCTGAAGATTAAGAGCAGCACTATTGAATTAAAAGAAATACCTTGCTACGCATGCATACAGGGCTGCAACAATGTCTGCACTGGATGAAGCGTTGCCCGAAGGAGGTAGAAACGAAGATATAAATATATCATCATCAGGTGTACGTGATGAAGATAGAGGCGGTGGAGGAGAAGCAGCAGCAGCAGCAGGTTTATTAGAGTTAGAATCTCAGCTGCAGATAGGCGCAGAAGTCTCCGCAGCAAATGCTGCTTCTATTGTTCTGCTGCAGACGCCTATACCTCGCTTAGAGCTGTGGGCTGCGTTATTGCCGCATGCACAAACAGAGTTAATAGAAGAGTTAGGAGGCGGATATCTATTTTTTTTATCGGGAGACGGTTTGCTGCTGCAGCTGCTGCAGAAGCAGCATCTACATATTAATATTAAACGAGGTCTACAACCTTTAAGAATAATCTATCAAGCAGAGTTGCTGCTTGAGCGTATAAGAAAAGCAGGAGGCAATTTTAAAGTAATATTCTTCAGAGTATTTGCTGCTGCTGCTGCTGTTCATCCTCTTTTTTTGCTGCTGCGGCAGCTGCTGCAGCTGCATCTTCAGAAGCAAAACGTAGATGTTATAGTTCTTGATGATTGGTGCGGCTCTGAGTTTGCTGCACTTGTATCTTCTCTGCATCCTCTCTTTTTGCTGCTCAATGATATACATATTATTAATAATGAAGAAGAGCAGCAAGCTCTAGAAGGCGTAGAGGATGAAGATGATGATGATGAAGAAGAAGAAGAAGAAGAAGAAGAAGAAGAAGAAGAAGAAGAAGAAGAAAATAGCAGAATATTAAAGGATCCTCGAACAGAGTTAGAGAGAGCAGGACGTGCGTGGCAGGTAGATAAAGCTTTGCCGCTTGAAGCTGTTCAGCTGCTGCAGGAAGCGCAGCAGCAAATTAAGAAGAGGGGTTCTCGCTGCTGCTCGTTCTTGCTGCAAAGTCTGTGTCTTGCTTGCTGCAGCCTTAGCTTAGATATTGCTTTTCTTAAAGATCTCGTCATCAAACCTACTAAACTATTTGCTGCTTCAGCTTCCTGCTACGCCGGGGCTAACCTATGGAGAGTTATGGAGAGTAGAGTCAACAGCAGCAGCAGCAGCAGCAGCAGCAGCAGCAGCAGCAGCAGCAATGGCGAGGAGGGAAAGGAGAGGGGAACTGAAGAGCAGCAGCAGTGCTCGCTGCAGCAAGCGCTGCAGCAGCACAAACAAATGCTGCAAGATATAGATCTGCTGCCGCCGCAGCTGGGAAGCGAGCAGCAGGAAGAGGGAGAGAAGCTGCTGAAGAAGCTGCAGCAGCAGGCGCAGCAACAGCAGCAGCAGCAAGAGCAGCAGCAGACTGCACCTTTGCGTTATTTCTTTGTCGAGAGTTATTGCGAAATATTTAAAGAGGAGAAGTTAGAGCAGGAAGACCCGCTGCAGCTGCAGCGGTTTGCTGCTGTAGCAAAGCTGCTGCTGCTGTCTGCAGCACTGCAGCGCGAGTTGCTGCTGCTGCAGCGAAGCAGCGGCTACCGTCCTTCCTACAGCAAATGTAAATTTGTATCAGAGTTTTTATATGCTCCTTTGAAGCTGTTCTGCACACAAGCAGAAGCTGTCTTGAGGAAGGCAAACGAATTCTTGCTGCAGCAGCAGCAGCAGCAGCAGCAGGAAGAGCAGCAGGGGAAGCTGCAGCAGCAGCAGCAGCAGTTGCTGCAGCTTTTAGATGGGCGTGAGCTAGCTGATTTTTTTGACGGTAAGCTGTTAGTGGTGATAACAGCAATTGCTGCAGCAGCAGCTCGCCGCAGCGGCTGCTGGAGTGTATCTGCAGCTTCTTTAGGATTAAACTCAGAAAAAGAAGCAGAGTTAGAGAGGCTTTGGGGTGTATGCTGCAAAGGAGACCTTAACGATGCTCTTAAGCCTCCTTTCTTACCTATATCTCTTGAATGTTTAAGAGAGTTCTTGCAAGACAGTGCAGCATTACCACCCCCTAGACTGCCTCCTGCTGCTGCTGCTGCTGCAGCAGCAACAGCAACAGCAGAAGGAAAGCAACAGCAGAAACAGCAGGAAGTAAATCTGCTCGCGCTGCCCTCTACTATGCTGCAGCGAATGAGAGCAGGTGCAGCACCTAAGGGTTCTTTGATAGATGTTGTTATTAAGGAGGATAACGAAGAGCTGCAGATTGTGCAGCGCGAGACAGAGCAGCAGCTGCTGCTGCAGCAGCAGCAGCAGCAGCTAGAAGACAGCGATCTTGAAGCTAGCGAAACCGAAGACACTGCAGCAGGAACAGCTGCTGCTTCGGACTCGGAGAGCGAAGAGGCATTGAAAGAAGAAGCTGCACATACACTCCGAAAAGTAATTCAACTCAGAGCTGTTGTTAATCAAAGAAGAACTGAAGAGCTTCAACCTGCATTTGAAGATGCACCCAATGAGGTATACACCTCAAATGCAGATGCATATACACCTCAGATATATGAATATATATATATATATATATATATATATATATAT